AATAGCATAAACTGTATTTTTGAGTTCAACAGAAGGATTGAGAGGTTGTCGAGGAGTGGAAACAGGCTTGAATCGACCACGATATGTGAGCTTGCTTTGGAGAGACTCGTGGAGTGGCTACACTATCTTTAGGTTCCTGCTCTTCTTTTGTTGCTTTTCCTGCTAATCTATCTGTTTGAGGAGCGAGGTGTTAGGGCTCATGAACATATGATACAGATGCTTGCCTAAGGACCTTTGATTGGCTAACCATGCCTCTTGGCCCAAAATGCCGATAAGGATGGACAAAGTGATTCTTGTGACAATACTTTGAGAGCATGGCGCCCACGTAGGGCCATATTATAAGGAGCAGAAAAAATACTGATTGGTGCTGATTCTATTCGAACCAGCTGAGTTCATTTCAACTTGGATAATTTATTATTAATAACCCTTTTAGCATCCTTCTAAGTGGTATTTAGGCAAATAATGAAGTTATAGGATTACTAAGAAATAGCATTGCTTCTAAAGCACTCTGACTTAAACAATATAGAGACGTAGGCTGCTACATGGTCCGGTCCGGTCCGAGCTTTGGTCCGAGCCCACACTGAGCCTGTCATATATTTCATGCGGTCCGAGCCCTAAATTTCTAGATTTTATGAGAGTGGTCCGAGCCTGCCCCCCCTAGGGCTCGGACCGGCTCAGACCATGTAGCAGCCTATCTAAGAGACGTACGTCAAAAATAGTTAGCCCCTTAAGGTGATATAATATAACTAGTGTATTTTAGCTTTATTATAGATTGCTCTGTTAACTAATAGTGTAAGGAGACTAATAATAGACTTGTGTATAAATAACCATCTAAGACGCTTTTTTTATCCCCTGTGTCACTAAATGAGTGCTCCTGCCTTTTCGAGAAGAGCGTTGCTGTGATTTAGCGTCAGAACTTTGCTGCAGTCTTGGCAGAATGAACATGTAGTAAAACTTTTATACTTGATTTCCTATATGAAATATGCAAACAATTGAAAATTCAAAATGTACAAATGATCAGAATTTCAAGAGCTATCAGATGATCCTACTTTTATTATAATAGACCTGTCAACCAGAGTAATGCAGGGAAGAAAGCATTTGTAGTTCAACCAGATTTGGTGTTCTTTCTGCCAAGGCTGCAGCAAAATTTCCTACTACTCTACTAATCCATTTAGGCTTATGAGAACGCTAATCTCAATAAGGCAGGAGCACCCATTTCAGTGATTACAAAATCTTAGACAAGATAGCTAGCTTATCAGCCACATTCTAGCAGTAGTCAACTACTTTTGACGTACACCTCCGTAGACATCTCGATCTCGCAGACTGGGTGGTGGTCAGACACAGATAGCTAAGTTGCGATCCATTGGGGGCGGCAATCCTTCTTTACAACCTTATCACATGTTTATCATGGTTCTACACCCACCCGATGCATAGCCTCCACCACGGCTTCCGCCATTTAGAAATTCTAGCCCCTAATCCGCAGTTTGCAATTAGCATTTGCGTTGTTTGAGATATAGTTGGTATGGTGGCCGTACGATATGATACTCTACTTAACAGCACGTCTCTCCTTGATCATTCTGCTCCTTCTCATACTGTCTATTTCACTGTCAATGCACGAGTTCAGCCATGCCAGAGGTTCACAAGACCAAGACATTGGCTGCCACAGCCGGAGCTGCATTTCCCTTTTGCTTCGTTGACCCTACAGGTACCGCCCAGCTGGTCTTTCTGACTACAAGCACTGGCGTTGGACTTGGTCTCACCGCTCGTCTTGGTCGAAATATTTGGGGAAAGGCGCAAAAGTTGAGGTCGTCTTCAAAACGAGCACCGACCGAAGGAAATGTCGACTTCGCTTCTGACAGTGACCATGGGCTGGTGGCATTTGATCAGAGGGAATTCGAAGAATGCATCCGAAAACTTGCCGCGAGCATGACCGGGATAGTTGTCTCCGGCAGCCTCAGCACCGTTCTACCCCACTACGTCGTTGGCTTCCTACTCAGCGGCGGAGAAGCCGCATACTACCTGCGTAAACTTTGGAAAATGCGGGACATGTGCGGGGGCACCAAACAATTAATGGAAAACGTCTCAAAGTTCGACGTGGCATTGCAGGTCTCGGCTGGTGTGTGTATCAGGTTTCTTACGACAATACTTTTCCTTGGTGCTGCCGAATTCAACACCTTTGTGGACTCAACCGCAGCTGTTTGCGACGGGCTGATGAATTCGGGGAATGGCGCCACGGAAGGCGCGGATGCCCTCAAAGCTACGCACGATAGCCTCCTTGGCCAGGATCTTTTTGGCGCGAGCACTGCCTTAGCAGGAGCACCGTCTGAGGGTCTGTCCCAAGTCTTCGGATATGGCACAGACTACACGCCCACATGGACTGACGGCGCGCCTCCCGCGCATTGGGCTGCTTTTGGTGGTGCCAGTTCCGTCGCCGAGACAGCCCTGGCCAGATTGGTGGAAGAACCTGTCCACAAAGCCATCAATGTTGCTTCGTCTATTGGTGAGAAATTTGCTTTCTCAAAACAGGGGCCGTGAACAGCGGGAAAGCAAGGATTCTAACCAGTTCACTCCACGCAAGAAGCGGTCACGGAGATCATCGATTCCGACAACAATTTCATACTAACTAACCCAGCCCTCGCATCCACTCCCGACTTCATATTGCGATTTTGGAGAGTGCTCAGGAATTTACTAGTACGCAATCCGTTGCCAAACCGGGCTGTTCCAACAGTTGTTCCGATAGCAAAGACTTTGAGAAGACTTTGAGGAAGTAGACCCGACTTGTTTGCTTCGAGAGCTATGACTTGTTAATATAGAAGGGATCTGTCAGCGCTTGCTTTTTTTTTCAATTCCTCTTTTGTACCATCGGTGGTCGTCCTCTTCTATATACTCACTCTATCTGTCTATATTCTCTCCTCATCATGGTAATTGGTTGGCGCGGACATGTGACCATGGGGGAAACCGGAGCACAAATAAGCAGAGGAATCTTACACTCAGCCTACATGTTCTGGCTGGTACCAGCTTCTGTACGGTACCGATTTTCCCAAAACAAAATCTTGCCTGTTGATATCCCTAGTAAAACCATTTCGGCCATTGACGCTGCATGCATGTGATCCGTGAGGCCCCCGATAATCCGATCCCTATGCCCCATCCTTCCATGCCCATCAATGGCTTACTACACCAGAACCATCCTTCCCAATCTTCCATATCAGGGCGTCGAATCCTAACGGAGATCTCTAGAGTCCCGTTATGAGATCGTGTTTTCTGGAGCGCACATTGTCACAACCTATTATATTTTAAATCTTCCAGGAGCAGCAAGGGGTAGTCAGGAGCCAAGGCCCGGAGGTGCTCCGGCAACATCCTAATTTTTAACGCCATTGAATGAATCTCTTGCTCATGATCAAAATGGCACTGATCCCGCCCACAAATCCCACGCTTTCGTCTCCACCACCCAAACGACAAAAGCTATAGCATCGCTTTTGTCGGAAAATGGACCGATCAATAAGAAGCGCAAGCGAGACATATCTATTTTGATATGCGGAGAATGTGTTGAAAGGAATACAAAAGTCTTTTACTTTCATTGTATGTACGGCACACCATTAGTTATTCATCGAATCTACCTTTGAATGGTTAACAAATGTTTAAGTTCATGGGCTGAGATACTTATTACTACGAGGGCGACCCCGCTTCAGTTTATTCGCGTTCCCTTCAAGCCTGTCAGAATTTCAAAAAGTCTGTGGGTAAGAACTCAATTTATCGTGCTTGTCTTTCATCTTTCACAGAATTGAGTATTATCGATCCGGAACGTATCGCAAAATGTCAGTTGAAGGAGCGTTGGCCCTGACTGGCGTGGTGCTCGCAGTGCCAGGTATCATTGACCTCTGCATTAAATATGGCTCCTTTCTCCAGGAAAAATACACCCTGTATCAGAGGATGGATGCTGACATGAAGCTCTTCAATCTCATCAGCAACTTAGTCAATGGAGAGATGAACGACGTGTTGATGTTCTTCAAATCGGTCGACGACAAGCTGTCACCCGACCTTCAGGGACAGATAAAAAATCTGCTGATTCAATTACTTGCCGAGCTCGATGCTTTGAAGGGGTTGATCACCAAGGACCCGGGAATACGTCAGCGACTCGGATATTCTGCGCGTAAGGCTCAGCAAATCCAAAAGAAGTGCTTCAGTCTTGAGGAGTGGCATGTGAGATTCTTACGCAGAGCGACTGTTCTCATGCTCTTCGGCAACTTCTCCCCGGCTACCGATAGCAAAATGGTCGAAGCGGCCACGTCAAGGGCCATGGCTAGAATTCAACGTATTCGTGGAGCTATCATGGGTCCAGATCCGGACAAAGTCATCCTTGGACAGCTTCCGAACGGAGCCAGATTGCACCAGACTTCAACCTCCAGTGCCATGCTTCTCGTTAACAACGATGGTAGCCACTCGATAGCAGAGATCAGAGGATATGGAAGCGCCTCAGATGTTGACAAGAAGAATGCCGCGTTCGAGGTCATAAAAGCCCTAGCATTAAGATTAGCATGGGCTAATCCCAAGACGATGGGTATGCTGAGGTCTGATGGCTTTTACGATGACACGCATTACCACCGCTTTATTTTACAGTTCCCATATCCAGACGGCATGAAGAATCCGAGAACTTTGCAAAATCTGCTGACCGATACCGAACACCCGAAAGACTTGGTGCATTCACTCACTGATAGAGTCAACCTGGCCAAGAAGGTTACCTCCGGTCTTCTCTTCGTACATGCCGCTGGCTTCCTGCACAAGAAGGTCAATCCGACCAGCATTGTTGTCTTTGAACGCAAGGACGAGAAATACCCTGACCACCTCGGGGAGCCATTTCTGGTCGGGTATGATTCGATCCGTAAAGTCGACCACGCATCCGCGCGACTGAAAGTCGAGGACTGGAAAGAGAACATCTATCTCCACCCAGTCCGACATCGACTTCAGCCCGGTGACGAGTTCACCGCGCTGCACGACATATACAGCCTTGGGGTCGTTCTGCTCGAGATCGCTTGCTGGAGTTCCTTCGCCGACCGCAAGGGCATCGGAAAGCATCTGTGGATCTCCGAGACGGCGAAGAGAGACGGCGAGGATGTTGTTGTCAGTCGTCCGCTGACGCCCGACAAGCTGAAGGAACAGTATCTCCGTCTCGCAAAGAAGAGAATCCCTCCGGTGCTGGGGACCCGTTATTGCGAGGTCGTGGTTTCTTGTCTTGAAGGACTGCCTGACGAAGATGGCACTCTTCCGCCCTCCATCGCAACGTCCGACTCGTCATACATCCAACAGGTCATTGGAAAGCTGGAGGAGATTTACGTCTAGTAAGTATTTGAAAAAAAAGGTTGCTGATGGCTTGTATCGTTCAACGCAACGACCAAAGCTGGACCTCCAGATCAGCGGCCCCTATAGAGAATAGGCCATTCTTTCAGCTCCTCTAGACGCGTAGTGCAAAGGAGGGTCGAATGTTTCGAAACTCCTAACCAGGTATGGAAATTCCGCCTCTTTTTGCTGCGCTGGTATCATTGCAAGCCGGTTGAAGCCTTACTAGGAGGTTGTTGTCTCGTCTTCTGTCATTCTGAAATACCTTCAGCAATATACCTTCATCTTGAAAGTGACAAAGTCTGACTGTTTCTTCAGCCTTTTACAGAAGTTTTCTTCACATTCCAAGTTGATTATACTAATAGATTGTTACTTCAAAAACAACAAAAACATTATGTGGGAACCTATTTTGACAAAGAGCTTTTTAAATTATGGACTTGGCGCTAGTTATGAGCCTCATGTCTTCTACTGTTCATAGCTGGAGCGAAGTGTTGGTCATGATGGTCTCCCTCGTCAGTTTCAAGTATCTCTCGACTTGAGTGCATCAGAATCTGCAGTCTACTTACGGCCTATGATAGCCAGGCTCTCAATCACGCTTACCTTTTAAGATGTCTTGGACTTGTTTCATTCTAGTTTGGATGAATATTGAGTCTGCGTCATCAATGAGTCCTGGTCAGAAGTAGTTTGTTTGACGTGGGACTTACCTTCTGCTTTCAAACGATTGTTTTTGCTCCACTGAGGCTTGCTAATTTCATGATTAACTACATCCAATGGGGTGCCAGGTGCGAGATGCCTAAACAAGGAAGACTGATTCAGTCCAGACGTCGAAAGCTTCTTCAGACGAGGAATGTTCAAATTTGCTCCAGCCGCTACCAACGCAGCCGTGCAACTTGGCAACCCAGCTGCTGCACAGCAATGTAATAGGGTTGATTCGGTGTCATCTACCGCGAGATTGGTGAACCATACACCCTGCTGGATGCTCAAGTCACGCAAGATCTTGGATAGCGCAACATCACGCGCTTCAATCTCTTGCTGATCGACTCGGTCCATGATGAGTCTATAAGTCCCGTTGCGGAATATCAGATATGCCAAAGTATTGACATTCTTGAATTTCCCGCGAATATTTGCGCCTGCTTCGAGCAGAAGCCTGAAAGAGCGAATCTCTCCAAGCTCTGCGATACATTGCAAGGGCGTTAGTCCGTCCGGACTGCAGTAATTAACGTCGGCGTTGTATCTAACAAGACAACTCACGATTGCAAGCAGGGTCACCTCGAGAATAGCCTGATAGACGGGCACATCTCTCAAGAGAGTGAGTGCTGTACGACCACTTCTGTTTTGCAAGTTCACATTTGCGCCTGCCTTGCACAGGGCCTCGACAGCCTCGTCATCCAGCTTTGTGACTGAGATCATGAGTGGACTAAGGCCATCAACGCCACTGAGAGCTGGATGATCAGGGGCATCGGTGAGCTGATCGATATTACCGCCCTTAGCTTGTAGCCAGGCAATAGTCCTCGTGAGATCGTTGCATCTTGTAGGAGCATCGCCTTTGAAAGCTGGATACCAGAACCGCATGCCCGAAATTGTCCTTCCGACGCGGAGATATGACAGACGGTGAAATGGGGTATAGCCTTCTTCGTCTTCCAAGAAAAAGCGAGAGCGCCTGCCTGATATCAAGGGGCTGATGGTCTCGAGAGAGCGCCAATCATGGGCTGCCACAGCAAGATCCACAGCATTCATGCCCAAGCAATCATCTGGAGTTTGCGAGAACTCGCCTACTTCGTCATTGCCATGGCTATGCATTTGACGAACGTTCTCGTCCGATTTATATGGATCATGACCATTGCGGATGGAGGGATCAGCACCTGCCCTCAAAAGAGCGGAGATAAGAGGCTGGTGAGATGCTGTGACAGCCCAGTGGAGGGCGGTGCCTGGAGGCCACATGAATGGAAAGTGATAATTTACTAAGGAGTCCGTTGTTGCAAGAGTGTGATTTAGCTTGCCTCCTGCCTTCACTAAGACAGACAGAACATCGTTAATGGTTGAAGTCGGAAAGCTGTGCATCCAATGCAGGCAGCTGATTTGGAGCTTGGTAGCGGTAAGAGAGGCATCAGCTCCACGGATACAGAGCTCGAGAACCACATGAGACTGACCTGCCATGCATGCCTTGTAAAGGGGAGTCTCGTCGAAATCATTTCGGGAGTGAATCATATTGGGCTCTGCATCCAGGAGTGCTGTCAAAGCATCCAGGTTCCCGTATGCGGCGAATTGGTGAATCGCTTGATTGCCAAATGTCAGTGTTCGACTACCTTCAGGGCCGGTCCCGAATAGGGGTGAGTACAACGTATTATACCCTGAAATGCTTCTAAACTGATCTCTTGCTTGACTCGCGAGGCTAGAATTGATCTGCTTCAGTTCGTGGTAGGCGAACATGGAGCCGGTGGAAGCTGCTTTGAACATCCAAAGCGCTGTATCTACTGTGGCCATAAAGCTTGGAATGGGCAGATTATAGGAGCGCAGCACCCTTTCAGCAATAGCCTGCGCTGGAGGAAAGTCTTTGAGACATGCTTCCATGAGCATATTGATCTGAACAGACTTGTCTGCTCTTGAAGCGTCATGGAAGGATCTCAAGAGGAACATTGCGAGAAGCTGGGGACCTGTGAGGTCGCCTTTGGAGCTGTGGAATGACTTCTCAAGACCTTGGACAAGAAATGGGGCAAGAGATGGAAGCTCCCATTCATATTGAAAGACAGCATCTGATGTCGGTCGCTTGTTGAGCTCGAATTCACGGCAGGCTTGGAGCCAGCTCTTGCAAGTGTCGGAGGAATCTTTGAGAAGATCGCCGACATGCTGCGGGCGCAAAGCGTGGTCGAACCGAAGGAGTGAGCTTGCTGCTTTCACTACAGTCACGCGCAGACGAGTGGGTATTGCTGACGTAATGGTCTCGATGCCCTTTATGGACTTTGACTGATCGTGTGGTACGAACCGTCCCCCATAGCACATGGTGCTGAGAAGCAACATGCCATATGAATATCTATCAGCAGCCATCAGACCCGCTACTGTAACCGGTGTCCCATGCTCTATGTACTGCTCCACTTCGGGAGCTGTCCATCCATGGGAACATCCTTGTAGGGTGATAAGTCCATCGTGATGGGCATCCAGCTCACCTACCGAGAAGCCAAAGTCTGCCAGCTTCGCGACATATGGCACATGAATTGATGTCTTAAAGATGAGAACATTGAGTGGCTTAAGATCTCCATGAACTAAACCACACTGATGAACACGGTCAAGACCACACCCAACATCAAGGCACAGCTGCTGCAAAACTTCCCATGTCCTCTCTGTTGACAGAAAATGGCGCAGGTCCCCTATCGCTAATTCCATGACCAGAAATGGCGTCTCATGCCATGTGTCCATCTCGATGCCGTAGCCAATGAGCTGGACGATATTTCGATGGTTATGGAGGCGAGTATCGCGAAGAGCAGCCACTTCCAGCAACATGTCGTGGACCTGTGTCCGATATTGAGGAGAAAGCAGATCGAGACGTTCGTTCGCTGAGATGTCTTGGAATTTGATGCATTTCTTGACAGCAACTTTTTCAAGAGTTGTAGTGGTGCTACAATCGGACTCGTCCAGCAGCTCGTTGCTGTAGACGGCGAACTGGCCGCCCTCGCCAAGTTTGAGCTTATCTACCAGTCCATTTGTTAGTTTCAAAGGGCCTTCAACCTTCAAACTTACGAGTGCTGCGATGAAGTCTTTCACGCTTCGAGGCATGTGCCAGCTCGACGTTGAGAAATCCGAAAGACCACTGAGCATGTGCTGGCGCGTTGGAGTACTATTTAGACCAAGGGACTGAAAGTTGGTGAGATTGGATGTCCCTACGGAGTATTGATGTACATTGGAGATGCCTGGGAGGCTGTCCGACGTGGTCTCGTCTGCCATGTCGGGGAGCGGTCTACCTTTCCCTTGCTCATGCGAAATACTGGCCCCCGCACAACATCGTTCCTGCGGTTCGCTGTTAAGTGCACGGGCGCCTACGCCCTCTTGTGGTTTTAGTCCACCTTGTGCCTGCACCTGGTCCCCTGATTCAGTGATTTTCGCATCCTGCCATCCTTCGAGTCTGCTTTGGCGCTGCACTGGTAAAATAGTTTCCCCACCGCCTCTTGCTTGCTCTCGACTACCGGATGTGGCACCGGATCTTTTAATCCGGTCTCCCGCCTGAGCTTGGCTGCTTGTTGGCTCTTTCAATGACCATGTTTGCCCTTCAAGTCCATGTCGGCCTGATCCATGTTGAACAGCTGGTCCATCACTGCTTCCTGCCGGCATTGGGCCGGCGGGTATTTTTTCTTTTTTTGAATGGATGGCTGTCCTTTTCGATGAGCTAGAGACCACGCTTTCTGATGACTCGGTAGCTACTTTTGACGGATCCATGCCCATACCAGAGCCACTTACCTGACTTGCCGAAGAGCCCACAGCGTATCCTCGCTTATCAGTCCGACTTCTGGGTAACTTGATAGATTCGCCAGAGCTGCTGGACGTGGAGCGAGGGCTCATATTCTGACTGATCACCGCACTTTGCTTGGCTTGGCTTATTTTTTGGTTCCAGCCTCAGGCTTCCCATCTTTCTCTGGCTGGCCGCAAGGATTTCGCCTGGTTGATGCTGCCGAGTGGTTGGACTGTCGAATGGACGGTGTGTAGTCCGAGGCTCGACTGAAGTGGAGAAGCAGGAGGTTGGGGAAGGAGGAGGTGCTTGATCTAGACGTGCTTGAGCAGGACGAGAACTTGGGATGGACCGCAGAGCGAACGTTGTTGCAATACTTGATTAGGCTGTTGCTGCTTCCAGTGATAGGTGCGGCGGATCGTTCCTTTCTTGGCTAAAGCAACCACCCATTATTGTGATTGTGGGATTAAATGGGGGTGGTATGACGGACAATAGATTTCAGTACTGAAGATATGGGCCTTCTCTCAGCCAGATCATGGCGGCTTGGTATGATACAATTGAACAAGACCAATCTTGAGATCAATTAGAGAATGAAGCTCGCAGAGGCTAAAATACGACCATAAATCATGAAAGTGCTAAAGATGATAAGAGTACTCCGTACTGGGGAGCCTCGATACGTAATCAGACCAAAAGTTTGATACAAGCCACGACTACGGAGTAGCCGCAGCCAGAAAAGCTTGGGGAGCGCAGGTGATGCAACGAAGCAGGGGAAGAAACGGGTATCAAGCTGTCTACCCTAACATCTCAAATTGAGTCCAGAATCCTCATTAACAAATGTTTTGACAAGAGGATTCTGGTTAAACTTCATGGCTAGTTACTTACCATAGTTAGCTGAAGTTCAGGACTTAACAACCCATATCAAATAGCATTACTCCGTATAACCAGGCCCATTTTCCTTCCATCGGATTTCATTTATAGCAGTGGGCGCGAACATGTTATGAGACACGCCATGTCTTATCTACATACTAAGTAGTATGCGTAAAAACGCACATCTTAAAGCTGTCTCAGCTGAAGGATCAAGTGTTGAAGTCAAGGGGTGACTGCCAAGACTATGAGCGAGCGTCCTACCTACTACGTAAACTTACCCCTTAGTAAAACTACCAGTGGGGATCCCCAACTCATCCAGTTCTGAGCCCGCTTTCCCCCTCCCTCCACCCTAAAACAATTGTCGCTAAGCATCAGCATAGCTTCTGGAGCATTCAGAAAGGCGAAATCACACCCACCTCCATTGTTATTAGTGCATAAACGAGTTGAGTGCCGCGCTCAGCGATGTACAGGATAATATATCAGGATAATATATCAGGATAATATATCAGGATAATTGAAGGGAAAAATTGGGAGGGAGGACAAGTAGAACACCAGGGAAGAGGGATCTCTTTTATGGTGAGATTTTGGGAAGGATTGCGGAACATATGGATGGATAGATGGATGGCCGATTGTGCAATCTGTTGCAGTGGGAAGGGAGGAAATTCTCTTTTTATCTTTACCCCTCACCTCCCCCTTCGTCCTTTTCACTTGGTGGGAATTTACATGCGGATATAGGAGGAACTTCAAACATGCCAGTTTCCGGCGGGTTGGTGGTAGTGATAGTGAACAGCAAGTCCAGCAGTTGAAAAAAGTATAAGAAAACATACTACTCTCTTTCTCTCTCTGTCTCTCTCTATCTCTCTCTCTCTCTCTCTCTCTCTCTCTCTCTCTCTCTCTCTCTCTCTCTCTCTCTCTCTCTCTCTCTCTCTCTCTCTCTCTCTCTCTCTCTCTCTCTCTCTCTCTCTCTCTCTCTCTCTCTCTCTCTCTCTCTCTCTCTCTCTCTCTCTCTCTCTCTCTCTCTCTCTCTCTCTCTCTCTCTCTCTCTCTCTCTCTCTCTCTCTCTCTCTCTCTCTCTCTCTCTCTCTCTCTCTCTCTCTCTCTCTCTCTCTCTCTCTCTCTCTCTCTCTCTCTCTCTCTCTCTCTCTCTCTCTCTCTCTCTCTCTCTCTCTCTCTCTCTCTCTCTCTCTCTCTCTCTCTCTCTCTCTCTCTCTCTCTCTCTCTCTCTCTCTCTCTCTCTCTCTCTCTCTCTCTCTCTCTCTCTCTCTCTCTCTCTCTCTCTCTCTCTCTCTCTCTCTCTCTCTCTCTCTCTCTCTCTCTCTCTCTCTCTCTCTCTCTCTCTCTCTCTCTCTCTCTCTCTCTCTCTCTCTCTCTCTCTCTCTCTCTCTCTCTCTCTCTCTCTCTCTCTGTGTGTGTGTGTGTGTGTGTGTGTGTGTGTGTGTGTGTCTGTGGTGATCAAACCGATCACACTTACCCAAAGAAACCAAGCATCGCTCCACCCCTCCAAACCCCATCTCCGTCTTCTGTCTGAGCTGCGCAGCCGGCCCATCGCGATATCCGATCACATAATCCGTCATCTGATACTCATCCTCCCTCTGCCTGCCCCACTCCAGATCCTTCCCTCCTCCACCAATCCCTTCCCCTTCCCATGAAGCTCTGACATCATACCTCCAGAATAAGTGCGTCAATGCAAGCTTGAGCGCAAAATACGCTATATTCATCCTGATGCAGTTCATCGGTCCAAGGAGGAACGGATAGAGCGCCGTGTAGGCCCTGGAGACGCTTTTACGGCTTGCCCCTCCCTCAGCCCGTTTATTACTATTTACGGCTCACTGTTTAGGAGAGTATGACTATAGCCCGTAGGAAATGCGCCTGATTGTGATAGAGGATATAAACAGGCGTTCCTATCTTAACGTCCGTAGGGATATAGTAAATTAATTTCAATTTTCAGCTTCCAATGGGTTGTTGATCTCGCATCGTAACTTCGCTTACGACCAATATCAATCCACCCGACAATACCAGCTCCAGTTATCAGGGCCAGGGTACATTATGTAAAACACCTCGAATCGAGCACCACCGAAAAATGCTTGAGGATACTGAGGAGATTTCGAGCAGCAGTTATATGGTGGTTGGGCTCGAGTTGGGCTGCTTGGCTTGGGAAGAGAAAGCAGGGCGTGCACTAGAAGGGAAAGGTGGTCTTGACCCGAGATGTCAGGTTTGTCTAGGGTTCAGCCTGGAGTTCTGCGATTTTCATTATTCTTTACTTCGGTGTTCTGTGTTCAGTCCTCTGATGTGATACTTGATGCTGGACCCTCTGTCCCGTTAGGCAGAAGTAAGACGTTGACTGGGAAGACCATTATTTGTCATGTATCATGCACGGTGCCACGGTGCCGGTTCGTCAGGCTTGGCCTTTTGTTCGTAGAAATACGCGGCACGAAGACCATTTCGAGGGCCGAAGTTAGTCATGCGATAACGGGCAAGGAAATCGTCCATATTAACTTAGTGATTTTATCAGCTTACTGGGTCTTGGATCTGCAAATTAAATGGGAGGCGGAGTGCGAGTGCCATGATAAAAGATGATGCTCATCCCTATCTTTGGGAAGCAAAAGCTCATGAGAACCATTTTGGTTCCATGAAATAAAATCTGACACGGAGAGCTTTGTACGTGGTGAGGGCGGGAATCTAGTATGCCAAAACATGGAAACCGGATGGCAAACAATTGAAGAATTTTAAAGGGATATGACTTACTGTATCCACCGCAAATCCTGCGATTCCCAGAAAATGCCGTCCTGCCGTGAAGATAACGCCAATTATCAAAGATGATAGGTTGGCCTGGTTTCAGCTGAACCCTGATCTCGAATTCCTTCATCTTCAAGATTCTAGTCCATTCTCGTGCTGCCCTATACCACCGTTCGATTGACTCAAGGCTTCGCCATAACTGTGTATCCCGATCATCGTTATTCCACCTGATCCGAGTCCGTATTTCTCCTAGGGCAGTTTTACCTGATTTATGGCCGGATGTTCCTTCATCGGGTGGATAAGATATAGTGTTCCGCCCACCCAATAAGACCTCAGTGCCTTCCGGACTGATCGTGTTGTTTCCAAGTTCACCTACTTCAGCGTTGCCGCTTGCATGGAACAAGATCTTCTGACGATGGAGGTAATTGCGAAGACTCGGGTGCTTATCCTGAAGGTAAGTAGCAGCGGCTCGCCCGTCGACGAAAAGAGACTCGCCGCCGCTGCCGTCGGTATGAGAAAGGAGATGGAACATCTGCAGTCCACACGGAACTGTCAAATATGTGGTGTCGGTATGAACCGCTAAAGCTTGGTTGGTATAGGCGGTATCCGTCGGCGTCGCTGACGAGGAGAAGTCCCAGAAACCTCCGTAGTGCGTGTGCTGAACAAAAGCAATGCGCTCGAGTAATGACCGAGTGGCAGACGGCGTCAGAGGACAATCAGTCACAAATGAAAAGCCATATTGATACTGATGGCAACCATTGAGCGTTGTCAGATATATTGAGCCCGAGGTTGGATTGGTGTAACACGCACGATCTTCTTAGTCCAAGTGGCGACCCCTTTGTCGCTGCTCATAACTTCTTCGAAGGACACAGTAGGAAAATGGTCAGGCCGTGATGGATCTACATGGGCCCATTCTCTGGGTACTATCATCAGCTTGGACGTGCGAGTCTCGCAACCAGCTGATCTACCTGCTGCGTTCCTCCAAAGGGCCGTTGTCAGGCCGAAATGAACCCCCCCAAGATCTCAACCACTCCCATGAATAATGGCTTTCATGGCCGTCGTTATTCCCTGTTGTTTTTGGATTAGTGATAGGGATTTTGTGCACTGAGAGCACGTACAACGTATCCTCAGTCCTTCATGGTCTTCCGAGCAGGTCTCAACGCCAATACTGAGAGGAATCTGCCATCCTGCATAAGAGATACAGCGTATGGATCAAGTCACAGACTTAGCTCACCTCGAAACTGTCATGCTGTCTTTGGCGAGTCTGAGGGTGGATGCATATACTGCATGGGCAATTGTCTCTGCTCCCGTCAATAAAATTCAAAGGCTTTGGCAGCAGGCGCCAGCATCATACCTGAGCCAGAGATTGGAGCTACACCACGGTAAGCGGGTAAACATATTGTACGTCGTTGGTTAGAAGAAAATACGGCTTACAAGGGAAACGTGCCCCTTCCGGGAACCTCAATCTCGGTCACAGAACCCTCCAGTGGGTACTCTGACCTCGGACTGGTTTTCAGCAGTGATTGTTGCTCACGATCGGTTGGTGCAGAGCGACGAAGACGATTTCCGCTTTTAGTAGAGTATTTCTTCTTGTTGGAGTAGTACAAGAACCTTAAGGGTGGGTTGTGAGATGCACTCCAAGACCCACCATGCTGTCGTCTAGCTAAATGCGTTTTGAGGATGGGACATGTCACCGCCTTCAAGCTTGAGGACAATGTTATGCCCAGAGGCTGAGCGAGGTAGTTCCTCATCAAGGTGGCCGAGGCTGTGGACTGCATCATTCGGGAAAATGTACGGAGTCCAAACAGTCTCTCTCCCAACTAGTTAGTTAGATGAAATTGGGCGCCGAATTAGGTAGTCTTTGCTGCCCACACCAAACAGAGGCTGACTCAGGAACGGTGCTAAATAATTTAGTAAGGCACTGAGCAAACAGAATTGAAGTATCTGACATGTGGGATCGCCATCATGAACTCTGTTGCACGATCTATTTAGCGGCCGCCTGTTTCAACTCTAGTTAACTAATTAACTACATGACACAAACAACGCATCCTCCTACACACATTCTGAAGCACCCTTTTACCTGCCTATCCTACCTGCCAGCTTTTGTTTCCAGGCACGGGCCTATCCCCACAATACCTACAACGTCACTCACTCCACTTTTCACTTCTTGCATCGGGATCTTTTCGCCAATGTTTGGGTGTAGATACGTTGACTTGACTGAAGAGTATCCGTGGCTCAAGATAAACATACCCAAACACAGTTAGGATTCAGCGTTACGATCGCACAACTATCACCTGAGGACGAGTGTAACTTTGGCAGAGAGGAGGGGACGATCTATTGGTCAGTAAGTTTCGAGGATTCGACAGCCAGCCTTGTCCGGGAAGGTGTGGAGTGCATACCTATAACACGCTGGTATGGTAGGTTGGTTAATGGTCCCATCCCTGCAGTCTATCGCACTGAAAATGGTGATTTTAACAAATGTTGTCAACACTACTCCGTACAAGACTTTGACTTCTGACCTCGAAACAATGCCGGCCGTCTAAAAAAGGCTTCCTTTGCGGCAAGTCCATGATTTCCGAGTCTTGAGATTGCAAGCTGGAAGCGAAAATGATCCTGTACAGTGCACGCTTGAATGTACCAACCTTCATGAGGAACCCCGATATGAGGCTTTATCTTATGAATGGAATGCACTCGCCGGCACTGGCACGATCATTCGTTGCGGATTAATGATGGAAGTGACAAGTAATCTCCATGGGGCCTTGAGTTCACTTCGTAACCACGACAAACCTTGACTCTTGTGGGTTGACGCAATTTGCATCAATCAACTTGGACAAATAGTTGGGAATGGGATAGATCCCCGGTGAGCTAGACCGTTGACGTTTGAGTTGGCCGACTTGGGTGCCTCAATGTGCCGTAGTGACAAGGGCGTATGTTATGGCGCACATGAGAGCATTAATCATGGATTTTTCCGGGCCGAGATCTGCTCTGTTATACTCGGTGAAGCGAAATGTTGAAGAAGTGTCAGACAGCCGTGGGGTCAGGGATATTGTTACCGACGGTTGGAGTGACATAAATGCATGATGAAAAGACTAGCTTGCCACGCCCAAAATTACAGTATACGCTTTTACGAAGCTGTAACTTAGCATGAGTGCCTAGAATTGAATATGTATCGAGAGAATGTCTAGCACTTTCAGCACGCACAAAGCTATGATTCCGTATTCCTGAGCGATTTGACAAGATGTGTTGTTGTAAGCCGTCATTCGGAAGCTTGAATGAAAGCCACGATCTATGGCTTAGCTCAAGAGGCGTCTAATCCTTCCTTTCCATGACGGGGTATTGCTAAGCAGCCACCCTCAACATGTTTCATGCAGAGAAGAGTATTTCCCACTCGTACCATCGACTCAACATGTTCGTCACCACCTCCGGTGTAGTTGCCTTCTCTCCACTTCGCTTCTTCATCTCGACCACTTTCTTGCCAATCATCTCAAGTTCCTCCTTGTGAAAGACGACGTAGCGAAGATAGCTGTCCCTCATCTTGGTGACGTCTCGGACGAGCTCTGCTGCGTAGACGACCGAAGCCATCATGCCGACATCTATCATGGAAATGAGCCTGTCAGAGGGCTCCAGTTGAGCGGATCTGGGGTGGACATTTACCATCGGCTCGATGCTTTGCACTTGCCAGGCGAACCTCATGTTGCTCCTTATCATCGTTGAGGCGCACGACAAACTTCTTGAGACGATCCAGCTCGCCGAGGTGATAATTCATGAGGGCGTCGAGCTTGCGCCTGTCGTCGGGCAACATTTCACCGATAAACTTCTTCTCATCTTCTGGTTCCCACTTGAGACCTGAGCCAGACTTTCGATTACGAGATAGTCTTCGCTCTTCGAGACTGCGGAGAGATGAGGTGCGGAGGGCGGATGACATCTTGCTGCAAGATGTCAAAAATGTGTTGTTTGAGAAAGAATGACCGAATATGAATGTGACGTAGAAGCGTGCTCGAGCTCGATATCGTGGAATTACTGTGGGTTGAGCTGGTGGTGGTGTAGAGTGTCCCCAGAAATTAGCAGGAGTGTTTGCAGGGCTGAAGACGCCTTTGTGAGTACCTGAGACCTGGAAGTGTTCTGCCGAGACAGAGAAAGAGCGAGCCTGCACTCGACCCTGTTCTCCACATGCAGTTTTCAGTCTTCAGTGTTCAGTGTTCACAAAGAACAAGGCTTCACGTTTCGATCAAGTTGGCGGCCGGGTACGCCAATGGCAAGTGGTCTATATTGCACAGCATGACACGTGGACGAGGCCTCGATCGCCCCCGACAGGACTATCGCAACAAAAGGCCTTCCCAACATGAGCACAGCTTTTGTAGGACTCAGGCTCGTGCACTTGGGCGGATGCACTCTACAAATCTTCTCTCTGGCGAGAGGCACATCATGCCCATCATGCCCATCCTGCCAGCGTCCAGCTCTTCCTCTCATCACCAGCTTTTGTGAAGCCAGGCCCAGAGCTGGTCCGCTGGGGAACAACACTGATATCCACATTGTTCCTGGCTCCAGCCAAACCATGTTGTAGAAACCTTTCCCGCTCAATGTCGACAAATCCTTTGACCTTCATGCTTGCCAGAAGACTCGCTCCAGCCCAGGCACCCAACGACTCTACTCGCCTCAGCTGACCCTGCACAACCGGAAGAGCTTCTTTCGCCTGTAGTTTCCGCAGCTTCTCTTCGATGTAGTCTTCACCCGGAGGCAGAGGCTCCTGGAATCGAGCATCAGGCTTCCCAGCCCTCCCTTGTCCAATCTCTCGAAGCTTGTCTCTGCGATCGTCTTCTCTCTTCCCGCGTATTGTAGACCACCCATACTTTTTGACAAGTAGATCAACCTCAAACATAGTTCTGGGTGCAAGGCCGGGGATTTTTGAACCTCCTCCCACGAAAATAATTCGAGACATGCACAGGGCTCTGGCATCAGGAGGTAAAGGTTGCAAAGTTTCATACACCAGCATCGGTAAAGAGTGCTCATTGTCATCAAGATAGTTCGAAGCTGTGTCTGATGCCAGAAAGACTTTCTCTACAGGTTGCGAGAAAAGCGCAAGTGGCAGAGTGACAATTTGAGAAGACACGCCCGTGGGCCAATCGATTTCAATTTCCATTTCTCGCTCGTCAGTGGTATCTGAAGGTGTAGAGTCAACCTGGGCTTCGGCCCTGTTCAAGGTGTTTCTCCCCCCATCAGTTGTCGCTCCAGAATGCTTGCACCAAACCATCCGAGCCATCAACTCTTCGGCCAGCTCAAATTCAATCCGGGGCGCATCATCACCCTGACCCTGACGATGTGCGATCAAAGTCCTAGCTAGCTCTCTCAATAACGACCGCATTGATCTGGTGCTCCTGTTTATACGGAGCTCACGATACTCGTACACGGCTGTGACTATCGTTTCAGACCAACCAATATCAACCACTACAGCGGAGCGAACGCCTGCCCCCATTGCGGCCATGGTGGGTGAAGGCAGTAGGGTGATCGAGGCGTATTTCCACCGATTGAACAACGTCGTGAGTACCGTCGATAGCAGCGGGTGCGGTAGGATAGACGGCACGACCAACATCAGCCGAGCTGAACCAGCATCCGTAAGCAGATATTCGTTGTAAACGTCTCGGATCGCCCGTTCAATCTTGTCCTCCACCAAACCCAAGTCCACATCCCTCATGTCCATGCGCCATAACTCATGCTGTTGTCCCCATTCCTCAATATCGAAATGCTTCCTTCGGTGACCTGGCGCCCAGCCTCTATAATCCCCCGCACGTCGCGAGTCCTCTGGTCCGAATGTCAGGATACATTGTGGGGAGTGTTCACCCTCGAATCCAGCTCGGAGGTAGCGAGACCCCAATTCAATGATAACTGCGTCGTCTTCTTGCCGGAATCCTGATCCTGGGGAGGACAAATTGGAGGAGGCAAATCGACTCGGAGTGTGGGGTGAAGGGGGTTGGGCAGCTTGTCGTAGACTTGGACGGACAGATGATGCTATGCTCGATGCCATAATCTCTTCCGGGAGGGCATACTTGACTCCACCACCATGCACACGTGGGCGACCATGTACAAGCTACCAGGAAATAGACTTGAACACAATGTCGTGGTAAGTAAGTAATCGTGGTAGTCAGGTAAAATCTCCTTGGAGACGCCCTACGCGTCAACCACAACAAACACTCATTCTTCTCAAAATTTCGTGAATATAATTTCTATCTAGCCATAATAAATCACACAATTGTAATGGGCATACCAGGGTAAGTCTCTTCATTTTATGCAGCTGTGTCAGTCGTTGAAATTTATAGCCTTCTGAGAGAGATCGGTAAAGGAGAACGTATCGCGCTCTCAAAGTTGGCTGTTGAGTTCTTGGAGAGAAATAGGCGTCCTATCCGCATTGCTATCGACACAGCTATATGGCAGTTTCAGAATCAAGCAGGCCAAGGAGGCCAGAATCCCGCTTTACGGACTTTTTACTATCGTCTTTTGAGAATTCTAGCTCTTCCTATCCATCCTTTATTTGTTTATGACGGTCCTAAGAAACCTCTTGCGAAACGAAACAAAGTGGTCTCTCGTTATGGAACTACGAGTCTTCATAACGAGATGTCGAAGAAGCTCCTCCAGCTTTTCCGCTTCCCATATCAGACCGCTCCAGGTGAAGCAGAGGCGGAATGTGCCTTGCTTCAGCGTGAGGGCATCGTCGATGCAGTCATGAGCCAGGATGTCGATGCCGTGATGTGGGGCTCGACCATGACTTTACGAGACTGGTCTCAGGAAGGGACTCGTGGCAACAAGACCGCGACTCACGTGAATGTGCTACGAGCGGAGACGACAAAGGCGAATGCTGGGCTGGACCCAGATGGCATGATATTGGTTGCGCTATTGAGTGGTGGCGATTACGCTCCGGAAGGAATCTCTGGTTTTGGCCCTGGTCTTGCCTGTGAAATAGCCAAAGCTCATTTTGGAAGCGAGTTGTTGGAGGTGATGGCGAAGGGCGATAGGGAGGGATTATTGGAGTGGAAAGAGAGGTTACAGTATGAGCTTGAAACAAACGAAAGTGGATACTTCAAAACGAAGCACAAATCGGTCAAGGTCCCAGAAGACTTTCCAGACGAGACCCTCCTGCGCTACTACACTCATCCTGAAGTGTCGTCCCCAGTTGATTTGCAAAGAATAAGAAGGGATCTTGAAAGACGATGGGATGGAGACATCGACACCGGCGATAGAGGAGGTGCGTGCAAGTTTATCCGCTCTATGGCACCTGCGCTGCTTGCTCAGCGTTTGTTGCGTGTGCAGAAGAATACCACCATCTCTTCTAGTGATGCTATTTCAGAAAGAAGAATGCATTTTGTTAGCGACGGCATGCCTGAACTGCGCATTGCAGTTGTTCCGGCCGACATCGTGGGCCTCAACATTGAAGACGAAGAGGACAACCCTGAGTACGTCCAAGCAATGGAGGAAGCGGCAGCAGCAGAGGAAGAAATCAACGGCGTTGTTGATCAAGTCGAGCCTGAAGACGAACCACCAGCAATAACACCAAACGTGTCCAGACCAAGAAAGAAAGCGTCTTGGGATCCTCGAAATCCCGAGAAGATGTGGCTGCCTGAAACCATCGTGAAGCTTGGCCTGCCGGACTTGGTCGAAGAGTGGGAGCAGAAACAACGAGATATGCTTAGCGACCCCAAAAAGTCTATCGCGAATAAAGTTCGAAAGATCAATTCATCAACCATTGCTTCACAGAATACAAGATCAATACAAGCATACTTTACCACCTCCAAGTCTACCGTGACGGGACCATCAGCAATGCCAGCGTCGCCGAAGAAGGCACAAAAAGATCCCATCGACCAACATGAGAATCGTCATATCCGTGCTTCCAGCACTCCCACACAACGTAAAACAAGACGGAAAGTCACCGACCCAACGCCAGCTCCAGCATCCTCAATCAATCCTTTCTCCCTAGCAAGCCAAGGCAAACCACCATCCCCCCTAAAGAAGTCGAGCCTTCTCCCTTCAACCAACACACCCCCTCCGCAAGTCTCAGCCAATCCCTCCAGCAAATCTCCCACCCGCCGAGCCCGCAAACCACTACAAAAGAGCAAGACCCTCCCCACCTCGTTCGAGCAACCGATTCTCATATCCTCATCCCCCCTCCCATCACCCCATCCCAGATCGCTTACACCACCACCACTGCCCCCCCGAGCAGCTCAATGCAACATACCCTCAGCAGCCATCGAACAACACCGCTCCCCAGATGCGGACCCGAACCCACATTCAGACTCAGACAGCGATTCCCTCCCCTCCCCCTCCCAACTGCTCAACTCACTGACCAACAAGAAAACAACCACCACCCACAAATCCGCCGCCGCCGCCGCCTCCTCCTCCCTCTCTTCCATCCCCCAACCCATCAAGCCAACCCCAACCGACATCTTCCGCCAACACGCCACCACGGCCATACCGGCTGATCTCGGCTTCAAGCGCGGCAACCAGAAGAAGAAGAAGAAAACCGTGCTGTCCAGGGACAGCTTACCGGGGACTTGGATGGAGGTTCTCGAGTCGGACGAGGGTTCTGCTGCAGCTGGGCTTGGAGGTGGGAGTGGTAGGGCTGGTGGTAGGGGAAGGGGAGGGATGCCCAGGGTCAGTTTGGTGGATCTGACGGATTTGTAAGTTAGTGATTTCTGGGTTTTGGGGGGTTAGATAGAGGCGTGATATATGACGCTGTTGGAGCGAAGTTACGGGTAATGAAAGGCCATAGGAATGAAATGGTGCGTGAGTGAGAACGGATCCCGGAATGGGGAGGGCGTTCTCTCTGCTCATTCATTCTCTCATCTCATTTGGGGGTTGGTCTATCCATACCACTGCGCTCCCGCGGCGCTTCTCACAATTGCCTCTGTGTCATCAATCCCAAACACCATCCTTTCCCTACAAAATTTCATCTTCATGTTCCCGTCCATACCCTCCCCCGCCCCCTTCCACAGATCCAATACCCCATTTACAGAACTCAATCCAACCCAACCCCTAACCCCTCAAGCCCAAGCCCAAACCCAAGCTCAAGCATAATGAAAAGCATTGCGACACAACGGACAACTACTGGAATTGCTGCTGCGAAACCAGCGATACAGACAAGCGGAGTGGAAGCAATTCTTGCACGTGGCACACTTCTTGTCCGGCGTCTTCATGTCGCTTCCGATCACGCTGTAACAGATGGCACACTCGCTCTGGCCCTTCAGTGCGCCCTGCACGTTCTTCTTGAAGGCCAGCAGTCCGTCGATGACGGAGCCGTTGCTGAACATGATGACGCCCTGGATGGTGCGCAGCCAGGCCTGCCATTTCTGCTCCGACACGGCGACGCGGTTGCGCGAGGTGACGAGCGCGTGGGCGAACGGGTAGCTGGGCGGCAGTGTGATGCAGAGCGCTATGGGCGGCGAGTCCGGGTCGATGGGGATGGAGGCGATGGCTTCGGAGGCGCGGGGGTTGATTTTGAGGGTTAGTGGTCTCTCTTCCTCGGGGTTGTCTTGGGTGGTGGTGCTGTGCCATTCTGACAGGCTGGTGAGGGAGGCGGAGATGATGAGGGGGGAGATGTGTTTTTGGGAGTAGGATTCGAGGGGTGTTTTGATGCGGTTTTTTTGCTCGATCCACCAGGTCTTGGTGAGGCTGGGGAGATGGAGGAGGGAGAGGTAGTACAGGTGGATGGTTAGCCATTGGCATTCTCTTTCAAGGGAGGTTTCGGCGTCGAGGGTAAAGTCCGTGATGTTGTATTTGGAGGCATCCATGGGCTTGCCGCTTGCTATTCGGAGCATGTCGCAGGTGAACTTGAGGAGGTATTCGAGGTGTCCGTAATCCTTGATGTCTACTACGTACGTTTCTTGGACTATGTGGGATGCTTTCGAGAAGTGGTCGAATACTACTTTCCAGCTCAGCAGATAGCGTCGAATGTTGGTCCAGACGGAATCGGTAGAATAGAGACTGTTGTTGAAGAGGTCCATGGAAGGAGCATCCAGGAGTAATGAGAGCAGTTCGTCGGGAAGATGTGTGGCAGTCTTTGAAAGGGCCGCTTCGATCGAGACTTGCTCCTGTATCGATGGAAGTGATCGATGTAGAATGCCGTAGGCTGCACCTTGTACCGAGCGATCCTCTGACGACAGCAGAGGGTAGAGATCAGCGATTTGCGCTTGTCCGTCGAATTGTAAGTTCTGCACTTGACGCGCCAGAAGGGCCGTAGTAATCTCAAGAGGCTGACAGGCACCAGAAGGAGTTTCTACAATATTTTAGCTTGATCGCCAGCTGAGTATACAGGAACTTACCATCAAAATGTGTCAAGATCTCAAGCAAACTGGCGTCGACTGACGGCTTGACCTTCGACAACTCTTCCTCCAGGTCTTCATTACTGTCTCCACCAGTCAATGAGAGTAAGCATGCATGGAGCCGGAGAGCAGCATGCAAAGGAACTACCTCGGAAGCGTCCTTGATGCTGTCCAGATACTGCGCCATCAACGTGACCACGCCGTGCCAGAAGTCGCCATAGAGGTCTCTGATTGGCGGAAGAATGGCAGTGAGAGCTAACAGAATCTCGGACTGGAGCCCGGTAGGAGCCTGATTGAATGATCCAACCGAAATAAGATGCTTGGCCAAGAAGATCAGCCGTTGGGATGGGATATTGCCGATCAAGTCATCCTCCCCCTTGGTAAGCAGGTTGAGAAGAACCAACCTGCGTATGGCTGAATGTAGTGTTAGTGCTTCGATATTGGTTGGCCAGTTCGCGAGACTTACCGTTATTTGCGTCGTCGAAGTCGATCTCGGTCGCATCTGCCACAAACTCGTTGCACAATCGCCTGCCCAGTGCAACAGTGGCTAATGTCTCTCGACACACAGTCAGAAGAGCAGCAGACTTCATAGTATCTGCAGAGGCCCTGATGGCTCGAAGTGACGCCTCCCACGAAGCAATATACCTGGAAGCACCTTTGAGGTCGGATGCTTCAATCATTACACTTGTGAACGTTCTTGCCAGATTGAAACTTTGCGCAGACATCCCGTGTATGTTTGACAGTTGTGACAACCAACAAGATATCAGGGTAGGCTTGGTTCCAGAAGTGTCATCTGACTTCTCGTCCAGAAGCCATGATCGAATCAGCTTCTGGCCCTTCGCCACAATGTCAGTCATTTCTTGCACGACTTCCTCTGTCGAATCAATCCATAGAGCATTCGCACTCTCAATGCTCAGCTTGTCGTCTGCAAGTTGAAGAGCTTGTGGATAGTAGAGATACAAGGCTTCAACTTGATCATCTGTGAGCTGTTCTGGTGACACCTGTTCAAGAAGCCTAGTTACGAGAATTATCAAGCGTAGTGCGACGCTGAAACCTTCCAAGTCCCGGGGAAGTCCACCAGATGACCGTCTGCGTTCACGGTCAACCAGGAATGCACAACCCTGTAGGGGTGCAATGAGGGATATTGCAAGGGGAGGCTGAAGCTGGAGGAAAGGAGTCAACGCCTTCTGCCAGCTAGCAACTGTGGGAAACAAAGCCGACGCAACAGTCGGACTGTGGCTCTTTTCAGCGTCTTGCAGAGCTTCTCCGGCAATTTCCACAAGCGATGAAATCGAAAGAGCTTCTCCTGCCCCGTCCAACTGACGGCTGAATATTTCAATAGCAGAAGCACCTCTGCCGATTTCGCCTTGTTTGGCAAACATGTTCTTCACCAACGATGCTAAGCGCGCCGCTTTGTCTGCATTTTCCTCATTAGAAGAGTCGGAAATGAGGAGTAGACGAGTCAAAAGGCTTCCAAGATTCAGGTGGGCCGCAAGCAAAGGTCGCAAAGATGCGTTACGGTTCAGAAGAATGTCAAAGCCGTTCAAAGCATTGCCTTCTTTTTCATCCAACGATAGTCCAGAGAGCATATCTTCTAACACGCGGCTTTGAATTGGTGGGGTTGAAGATGGTTTGGGGGCTATCAGTGACTGGTTCAGGTTTGGGTTCGTCATGATTTCATAGACAGCAGACCAGCGGGAGTCATCACCAGCAAGAGCTGTATTGAGATCTTGCAGGAGTGCCTGTTCCAGGTCGCGATGATGAATTAAGTCATCATTTGTAATTCCCCGAAGAAGAATTCTATATGCACGAGAACCGCGTAACGCCTCATTTTGTAGGAATTGCTCAAGGATGGCGTCAAAGCTTTTTTTGAAACCAGTCATATGACGGCATTTCAGCAGAATGGAGATGAGCAGCTCAGCAGAAGGAGAGTCCAGCAACCTCGGAGCCTCCTGGTCCAGCAAATCTGACAGTAAATCTGGAGTCGAGGAGATCTTGATCTCATCAGTAATACCAGGTATTTTGTCCAGAATCAGGTAGACTGCGCCCGCCGCGCCATAGGGTTTGCCATTTCTATCGCGTAGCAGCTTTACAGCTTCCCGCAGAATTTCGATATTGCCCTGGATGAAGGTTGAGCCCAGAGCTAATGTCCGAGGCTCGTGGTGCAATCCTTCTGATTCTTCTTCTGATGTCCTGTTTGTCTGCATGGCAATCTGCAAATCGACAAAGCGGCGAGTCTTCTGAATAACATCATCTTGGGAGGCCTTGAAAGTCTTGGATGATTCCGGCTGAGATGTTTTCATGGTCTCGATGAGACAACCTACCATACTCTGATAAAAAGCAGCAATTTGAGTAGATGGAAATGTCTGCTCGAGCTTCAACATAAAGGACGAGCATAGTGAGAGGCTTATTGCAGCTGGAGTAGTCCATTGAGATAGGTCTGAGGCTGCAAGGAGATAGCGTTCAATTACAGGAAAAAGGAAGGACTGCACAAGCTTTTCCTGTTCTTCTATCACGTCAGGCGTACCAAGTATCCAGAAGAATATATCTGCATACGTCGCCCACGCTGCCGCGGAGTTTTGCCGCGGCTCGTCAGTGTTCACGATCGCCTCGTGCAACGCATTCAGAAGCTGATTCGCTGCCTCATAGGACAACCCTTCTTTCGAGTCTGCCGCAACAGCGCTCCACGCCTGCGCTGGTATGATTTTGATCAGCTGCCGGAGATGCAGCCACCACAACTCGGGGCCTCTCTGGGAACCTTGCTTGATATACTGATACAGCCTACGCGCAACTGCAGTCTTCGAAGCATATTCAGTTGTCCAGACTGATGGACGTGCCCGGGTAATGGCCAGTAACGCATCGATGTACTGCGCAGAAGAGTTTGTATGGCTAACATGTAGGGCTTTGGCAAGGAAGCAAGAGCTGACCTGCTTCCAGTCGAGCTCTATTCTTTGGCCGATTGCATCAGCGTACAGCTTGTAGACTGCTCTCCGGATGCTTGCGTCGTTGTGCGAAGCTAATTCACAGGTCTTATTGGCGTTGGTAATGCTTTGCAGGGTTTCGTTGGAAGACAAAGCTTTGTCACCCCAGTCAATCTGTAGGAGGCGATCCAGGACATGAAGAGCTGTTGAGACTACCCGCACATGTTTTGCTTCTGCGTCGTCTGGGGTGGTATTTCGCTCATCACTAAGCGTTTGAGGGCTATGTCTCAGGATGGCGTCTTCAACATATTCCAGGAGTGATCCTTGGTACAGTCTCCAAACTGCTCGACGCTTCTCTTCGGAAGAAAAAGCCACCTCAAATGATTCCAGAGCCGCTCTAGAGACGGACTTATCGCTGTCAAAAGTTCCGCTAAGCCATGCGCCAATGACTTTGTGAAGCTGCGAAGCTATTCGTTTCCCACTCGACACGGTCAGAGATCCTTGCAAGGAGTGAGCAAGCTGGCGTACTCTGCGAGCATTATCTATGGAAGTGCGAGGATAGATGTTGATCTAAACGATATATCAATATTACCTAATTCAGAGACTTGTCTTATGAAAGACACCCACCCATGCTTCTAAGACTGCAGGTTCCGGACCCGTTTCTGCATTTGAAGATGTGACCTCCTGCAGATCCTCAAGAGCTTTAACTTTGGTCACACTGTCCTTCTTTGTCAGGTTTTTGAAGGCGACCACGATGCTGGGATCGGAGATAGCGCTCAGATCCGGAACTTCAGTCACGTAGGATAGAGGAGAGGCGTTGGTCTGAAAAGCTGATGCAGGATTTCCAAATCCAAGAGACGAGCCTCCAAATGTCGAAGAGGCAGCTCGAGCGCTAGAGGCCTGTGACTTGAATTTCTTGTTCATGTTTGCCCTGCTTGGGGGCTTAGCAATAGTAACAGAAAGATGTGTTGTTGAAGGCTGAATAACTATATAATTCTGGGTTGTGACGTAGCCTGGAACGCGCCTTATAGAGAAAGCTTGTGACTGCGGCTGACTGGCGAGAGCGAACGAAAGTACACATTCACCAGCCTGACCGCCGATAAAGGAACCAGAATATGAAACTTAGATGACATTGGCTCTGGTCAAGCTGATCAGTCACTCTGTCAGTCTTGACCAGACTATTATCCAATCAGCATGAAGTTCTATATTGAGTACGACATCCCTTACCATTCTGCCGTCACACCCAGTCTGACTGACCTTAATAGCGATCTTCCGGTCCTCTTCCCATACCCTCGCATCTATCCCGAACAGTATGACTACATGTGCGATCTCAAGAAGACCCTCGAAGCGGGGGGTCATTGTGTCTTGGAGATGCCTTCGGGAACAGGCAAAACGGTTTCGCTTCTCTCCCTTATCGTCGCATATCAGCAACACTACCCGGAAAAACGGAAGCTCATCTACTGCTCCCGAACCATGTCCGAGATTGAAAAGGCGTTAGCAGAACTGAAAGCTCTGATGAAATATAGGTCCGAGCAGTTGGGCATAGTTGAGGAATTTCGTGGCTTGGGTTTGACAAGTCGGAAGAATCTCTGCCTGCATCCTTCAGTGAAGAGAGAAAAAAGTGGTGCAGTTGTGGACGCGCGGTGTCGGAGTCTCACAGCAGGCTTTGTTAAGGAGAAGAAGGAAAGGGGCGAGGACGTAGAGTCATGCATCTACCATGATGTCGGTGCAATTCCACTAGGCTTGAAGCTGCGCTGACTGCGATAGAACCTTGACCTGCTTGAACCACATAATCTTGTTCCGCCAGGCGTTTTTACCCTCGATGGGCTCCTCCGCTATGGAGAGCAGCACAAGCAATGTCCCTACTTCTCAGCCCGCCGAATGATGTCCTTTTGCAATGTCATCATCTACTCCTACCATTACCTCCTTGACCCGAAAATTGCGGAACGTGTTTCCAAGGAGTTGTCAAAAGATTGTATTGTTGTTTTTGATGAAGCGCATAACATTGACAACGTCTGCATTGAGTCTCTGTCAATCGACCTCACCGAGGATTCGCTCCGCAAAGCTACTCGCGGAGCCCACAATCTGGAGCGCAAGATCGAAGAGATGAAGTCGTCAGACGAAGAGAAACTGCAAAACGAGTATCAAAAGCTTGTAGAAGGTCTTCGTCAGGCCGATGAGGCTCGTGCCGAGGATGCATTTATGGCTAATCCTGCCCTTCCAGACGACTTGTTGAAGGAAGCAGTCCCCGGTAACATTCGTCGGGCAGAGCATTTTGTGGCTTTCTTGAAGCGTTTTATCGAGTATCTCAAAACGCGAATGAAGGTACTTTATGTGATTCAGGAGACGCCCCCATCCTTCCTCGCACATCTGAAGGACCTCACCTTTATCGAGAGGAAACCACTACGATTCTGTGCCGAACGTCTAACGTCTCTGGTTCGCACACTTGAGCTCACTAACATCGAAGACTACCAACCTCTACAGGAGGTAGCTACATTTGCTACACTGGCTGCCACATACGATACAGGCTTCCTGCTCATACTCGAACCATATGAGAGCGAGCAGGCCACGGTCCCGAATCCGATTCTCCATTTTACCTGTCTTGATGCATCAATTGCCATTAAGCCTGTGTTTGAGCGCTTCTCGTCCGTAATCATCACCTCTGGAACTATATCTCCTTTGGAGATGTATCCGAAAATGCTCAACTTCAGTACAGTGCTACAGGAGTCATATCCCATGTCACTTGAGCGTCGCTCTTTTCTACCCATGATTGTCACACGAGGTTCTGATCAGCAGACAATATCTTCTGGCTTTCAAATTCGCTCCGATCTTGGAGTCGTCCGGAACTATGGTAACTTGCTCTTCGAGTTTGCCAAAATCACACCAGATGGCATCGTCGTCTTCTTTCCCAGTTACCTCTACATGGAACAGATCATCAGTATGTGGCAAGGAGCCGGTATCTTAGATCAGATTTGGAATTACAAGCTTCTCCTTGTCGAGACACCCGATGCGCAGGAGACCAGTTTGGCGCTGGAGACATATCGAACAGCTTGCGACAGTGGGAAAGGTGCTATCCTACTCTGTGTAGCACGTGGTAAGGTGTCGGAAGGAATAGATTTCGATCATCATTTTGGCCGTACCGTCATCTGCATCGGCGCTCCCTTCCAGTACACCGAGTCTCGAATATTGAAGGCTCGGTTGGAATTTCTCCGGGAAACCTATCGAATCAAAGAAACTGACTTCCTTTCCTTTGACGCGATGCGACATGCAGCTCAATGTCTTGGACGTGTACTGCGAGGAAAAGATGACTATGGAATAATGGTCTTGGCTGATCGTAGATTCCAACGGAAGAGAAACCAACTACCGAGATGGATCGCTGATGCCATGACGGATGGAGAAACAGGTCTTTCGACAGACATGGCGGTTGGCATGGCAAAGAAGTTCCTGAGATCCATTGCACAGCCATTACCAAAAACGAGCCGTGAACTGTCAGGCGGCAAAGGCAAAGATTCCTGGTCGCTGCAAGATCTGGAGAATGTTCAAGCGGAACGACGCTCAAGACGTGGTGAGGGTGGTCATACAGGACGGGACGAGGACGAGGACAGGCATCATGATATGCAAGGCATCAACAACCAGAATGGTACAGGAAATGGCCATGTTGAAGAAATCGATCGGGCGCTGGAGCCTACTAGTAATTACATGAGAAATGGGCTTGATGAGTTTGACGAGGGCATTGACGATGATGAGCTCATGAGGATGGAGGCTTGATGAACGGATGAACGAATGAACAAATCAGCGGAAATAGTCTAAGAAAAGTTGAATGGAGATCAAGTGACCTAGACATCTGCTGGTGGGAGGGTGGAATGGGATGGGATGGGATGGGATGGGATGGGATGCCGTGGTGACGAGAGGGCATCACCAAGTGACTGGCCGCTCCTGCCTGTTCATGCACCTTCCACTTTCCACCTTCCACGCTGCAATGTCACTAATCAATGTCACTAATCAATAACAGCAACCTCAAAGCTTCTTCAGACTCCATCACCTCATCCTAAGTTGTCTTCTCTCATCCTCCATCCTCCATCCTTCATTCTTCATCCCTCGTCTCTGCTCTTTACCTTCGATAGCTTCCATCAGACTGTCAGCTCTTCCACCTTCAGCATGGACTCTGTGACCCGCCTTCTTGTTCTGACAGTGGTTCTGCTTCTCACAAAAACCACTGCTGTCGGAATTGTTCAGCGAGAACCATGTCCTGAGAATTATAAACCATGTTCTCTGCCTGGAGTCTCGAAGAGCAGCGTGCCAGTGGTTGACAATTCTTTGTCAGGGCTCTACGTTGACCTGGTCAGCTCCGTCAAGCCGCAGCCTGTCATTCGCGATTTGGGGGCGAACCAGGTGCATCACCAGGCTCGGGATATGTCCGTCAGCATTTGTTGTAAGTAACTGAACCCTCCTATTGCGCGAATTATGGCTCACGTTTCTCAGGTGCTGAAGGCATAGAATGCCGCCAGCTCAACGTATGGGACCTTCCATTCTGCTGGGTGAGTTCTTCATCTTTGCTTATACGTCTGTACATGTCCGATGGTACTAAGATCTTCACCCAGGATCGATTCACAACCAACTTCTTCCTCCCTGATGGTTCCTACGGGAATCTTTTTACCGGCTACTACAATTCGGCATCTGGTGCTATTGCGAATCTGGTCTCTGGCGACATTGCTCTTCCCAACGGCCGAACAGCGAACATCTACTCGGACGCCCCGCAAGCCAGACCAGTCACTTCTCTCCTAGCAGTGCCAACACCGTGGACAAGCAAGGGTCTCGGCACTGCGATCCCAAACAGCGAGTTGGGTGCTGCACCGTCGTACGCGGCTACACCGGCAGAGACCACACTCGCTCTAGTAAACAGTCTATCGTTTCCATCAATGACATCGATTGCTGAACCCACTGGTACACCAATCACCCTAAATGTGACAAGCTATCCAGGATCATATGGATTTGGTCCGCCACCAACGCCGAACACCACAAGCGTCATCCCATCAATGGGAGCCGCCACCACCAATGGGGTTCGAGGTACCCATCTGATATTCACCCTTACGCTGCTAGGTTACTTCGTGAATATCATAGGGTCCTCATCTTTCGCCTGAGGATCGGATGTTCTTGCATTTGGTATTATCCTCACTGTCTCTGAGATGGGCCACAGGGAACGTTGCGCATCCACATGTTTGAAATTATGGCAAATGTTTGAGTTGAATGCTTACATGTGGGTGCATGGCCATCGATCAAGATTAATGAAGTCTAAGAAGAAAGGTTGATGCAAGATTGTGCTGTGAATTAACAGCCACCGCGTTCTAGTTAGATTTACGTGAGTCATCAATCACAGTCGAGTATGAACTTGCCGTATCTCACCAGAAGTGTTCCAGTAGAAGCAATGTGTTGCTCGTTCTCAGTCGCCATGATATCTTTACTCCTACTAAGACCACCTAAGGCTTCCCCAAGAGCCATGATCATTTGCAGAAAGCAATCCAGAGACTTGGAGGCAGATGCTGTCACCACATCTACCATAAACACTTCTCTTGATGGAACATCAAGTCACATCACAACGACCAATTACAATAATCTATTGATACTATCTCCAGAGTACACCATAGACCCGTTCCCCCACTCCCATTCCCATGACCGTTCCCGTTGCCGGTTCCCACACCCAAAGTCCGAACCTCAACCCTCTCCCTCCTCTCCTCCTCCCATATCCTCTCCTCCTCACCCCTCTGTCGCGTCTTGATGCGCATCAAGTCCTCATCATCCTCTGTCACTTCGGCGTCGGATTGGTCGCCCAGTGCGTCCGCCATTGCTCTGCCATGGCCGGACCCACGACCTGAGGTACGGCGATCTGTCGTCGTCTCTGTTGAGGGGGGTTGCGGGGTAGGGTTGGAGCTG